AAAACCAAAAACGAAAGAGCAGGAAAAACCTACCGTAAAGGCAAAGGACGAGTTAGTGAAGCCTATGAAGGGAGAGGTTCCGACTGCAGTTTCCAGAACTCCACAAGAAAGTCCGAAAACGGGAATTGAGGCAAAATCTACTATAAAGCCAAAGGAACAAGTGTCGAGCAAGATAAAGCAAGAAGGAAAAGGAACAGTGGAAGATGAGTTGAAGAAGGAAAAGGAACGAATCCTCACTGCAGTTTCCAAAACACCACAGGAAAGTTTGAAAATACCAAAGGAGAAAAAGGCTGTTATAAAACCAGACGAAAGCAAGCTAGTAAAACTCACAAAGGAAGAAGTTTTGACGGCAGTATCCAGAACATCACTAGAAGATGCAAAAGTGCAAAGGGAAACAGATCCTCCTATTGAGACAAAGGAACGTGAGTCAGATGAGCCACTAAGGACTGCTATAGCGGTCTCCGAAACACCGCAAGCTGTAAAACGAGGAGAATCAAAACTGATCGAAGAAAAGCCTAAGGAAGATAAGTTTTCCAAGCCAAAGAAGGAAGAAGTGTTGACTGCAGTCTCCAGAACACCTCAATATACTACAAGAAAGCGTAAAAAAGAAAGACCTTTTGAGGATAAGAAAAATGAGTTGAACAAGAAAAAAGAGGAAACTGTAACAGGCGTTCTCAAGACACCACAAGAAACTGCAAAAATACAAAGAGAAGCAAGACCTGTAAAACCAAAGGACACTGAGCAAAGCAGGCAGGATGTAAAATTGAAGGCAGCTTCTGATAAACGAGATGAACGTACAAAGGGAAAAGAAGAAACAGCCACTGGAGAGAGACCAAAGCAGGATGAGCTGGACAAAAAGAAGAGAAAAGGAGTTTTGAATAAAGTCTCCAAGATACCGCAGGAAAAGTCTAAAATGCAAAAGGAAGAGGAAAGCAGTGAAAAGGCAAAGGAACACGATTTAGTCAAGTCAATCCCTAAGGTACCACCAGAAAGTGTGAAGATGCGAGAGGAAGGGAAGGGCGTTAATCCAAAATTAGAGCAGAAAGACAACAAACAAAAGAAAGAGGAATTAAAGACAAGCTTTGATAAACAAGAAATTGAAAAGCACCAAAAGGAAGCACTCGTGAAAGAGAAGCTAAAGGTTGATGACTTACTTAGAAAGGAGGAAGCAACGGCAACTTCAAAAACATCACTAGAAATACGAGTAGAAGAAAAAACCACTGTGAAGCTAAAGGAACATGAATTGAAAAAGGAACAAGGTCTAAAAACTATTGCCAAAAATGTTGACGAAGAAAAGGAAATACCGTCAGAAAAAACACAAGATTGCTCAGATCGAAAAAGCGATGCACATGGAGAAGGGAAAAAAGTGGTCACGGATGAAAATAATCTTGGAGATGGCAAGGCTAAGGTGAAGATAGTGGAGCGACCGCCAGCTGCAGAGAAGTTCGTAAAAATTAAGAAGACAGAAAAAGTTGAAAAACAAATCTTAAGTGAACTACAAAAAACAC